GCCGCAATACCGAAGTTACGGTCGTACGTGACAGAGGTTCGTGATGAAAGATAATAGTGAGCTTAAGCAAGTGACGTTTTTGACAACACGAACGGCATGAGTAACGTCAGAAGACTGGGTCAAGGGCTGTGATGGGTGGAAAACGTCAACTTTACTTCCGGTCGACGTCCGTGTTGTCAAAAACGTCATTTGCTTAAGCTCACTAATAGTGAGCTTAAGCAAGTGACGTTTTTGACGACACGAACGACATGAGTAACGTCAGAAGACTGGATCAAGGGCTGTGATTGGTGAAAAACGTCAATTTTACTTCCGGTCGACGTCCGTGTTGTCAAAAACGTCACTTGCTTAAGCTCACTATTAAAAACTAGAGGTTACTATCGCAAGGAAAGTGCTGCCTCACCCCCAAGAGATCAAAGGCAGCATGCGCAATTTGCCGAATAAGGGGTTGTACATAATATGATTCCGCTTTGCCAGGACGAAATGTGCACGATTCAGCAAAAAACTTCATTATTTTCTAGATAATCTTTTTTCACTAATAATCTTCTTGAACTACAAGATCTTCTCTACAGTTCTGTTAAATTAACCAGCATTTGAACTTTCGTTTAGCCTAGCTTATTTCAATACATCAAAATCGTCCCACCTTCCATCATGTAAACAGCCCCTAAGACGCCTGTTCAGGAGGTAGGAAAAGTGCAATTTGAATATCAACATTCAACACCTTGCACAAAGTTAAAGGTCAGCTAAATGTTCTAATTCTACTTTCTTGGCATGGGTAGTTTTATATGAATACCTTCAATGCTTATAATTTCTTGCTTTTGTATGAATAATTCATATTTGTCCAATATTACATAAATAAGGTGTTAAAATTGAATAAAATTGATTGAATATACTCATATATAACAACTTGTGTATAAGTTACAGAAAAATCCCAACGTCTGCATGTAATTTATTATATCATTTATATGATTTATATCCCACCATGCACGTGCGAAATGTCCTACCATGCACATATCCCACCATGCACGTTCGCAAATTTTCAAAATAAACGAGGCATCATTATATATTCAATTCAAATAAATTATGTAGGCTAAAACAATTGTAAAGAAAACACTGTACATATTTTGATGTATTACAGCCTTGTTTGGCTCGCAAGTTTTCGGTGTTCCACGTAGATCGCGTGTTTGGCACGAAGAAACACCACAAGTTGGGAATCCTTCAGGAATAGGAGGTAGATCAGTCTGATTACCCACGTGTACCACAACGGACATACCAATCTGTTGAAAAAAGCGCATAAAGGTAAATGAAGTATCCGGCGCACATGATTTTACTGTCTTTCAATGTTCTGTTCTAATTATTTTCTGTTCTTTCTGATTTATATTCTTTCTTTTGTTCTTTTTAATTTTGCTTTATCTCATTCTATTTTGTCCTATTGATATTCCATTTGGTTATGTCAGTAAATCCATGCTAACACTTGTCTTGCATCTTTTAATCCATTTTGACATTTTGTTTCATTCTATTCCGTTTCTGTTCAGTATTCTTTCTCTTTGTTTTATTTTGTATTTATTCCAATATTTTGTTTTGCATTCATCAAAAACATATTTACCTCTACATGGAACTCGAGATGGCAATGAAAGAACCACCAGCCAGGATTATCAGTCAGGAACCTGATGATTGTGTAACCTCCGTCAGGTATGATCACTGTGTCCTTCTTAGGGGCTTTATCCAGCTTACGTGTGATATTACCTGTGAATACAGAAGAAACCAAGATATATATGATTTAGCTAGGTGACTCTGACTTCTCTCCACACCAAAATTAACATTAGTTTCCTTTTAAATTAGCTGAATTCATATTAATTAGAACAGATTTCCGTCTAAGACGGGAAACTCGTCTGACGGATTTCCGTCTGATATGAATGAAACAAAAACAATCGGACAGATAAAGGCGAAATATAGAAGACCCTCAATCCCACGTTCTTTTCAAAGTTACGCCCTTGAATCCGTCTTGATGTGTTCGTCTGATATAAATTTTCTGTCTCAATCAGTCTTCAACTACTAACATTAGGGCCAAATGTTAGTAGTTGAAGACTGATTGAGACAGAAGATTTATATCAGACGAATGATTTGGGAAAACGGATAATGAAAGAACAAAGAACTATTTGGAACTAGAACTTCAATTTGACACATAAATTAATTAGTCCATGGGATTCGCAACAAATAAGTCGTTTTGAGTCTCTCAAAAAGGGACCAAAAATCGTTGCAATTTTAATAACATTTATTGTATGGAGAGTTCGAAAAAAGCAGCTAACAAGTTCGGATACCCGGCTATCATGTCGTATCATGACATTTTAAATGCAATGTATTGGTAAGTGACAAGATTAATACATTATAAGGTTTGAAAACGGAACTAGTTAAATAATTATTATCCTTTATTTTTCCAAGCCTGTGTCTCATTGCTTTGACATGAACCTTTTAAAAATATCTCTCGGGAAACTATGTATCGAAATACCAATGGTTAACCGTAACGTCTTTGGGGTGATTTCACCTTGTTAAAATTGTGTAAAGTACTTGTCTGCTTTCACTAACGTTCAAAACGATGTTTAAAAATGAACTGAATATAACCACACTTATTTGCTTTTTACTTTTTTACTCTATTTTACAAAATATGGCAAAAACTAGTCTTTTTATAGACTATTTTTATACTCCTACAAACACGGGAGCCTAGGTCTTAATAGCTACCAGGCCCCGATAACACAGTTTTCAAAATGGCTGCCAAAATAGGTATGTTAATTTACATATTTTAATGTTTCTTTCGCAATTAATATAACTCGTGTAGGGACAAAATATAACCTGGTCAGCGGCTTGGTCAGGCAGAACTAATTTATGATAAACTTAAATAGTAACAAAGAAGTAAAAAGTAAACAAGGTGTGTTGATAAAATAAAGATATTTTATACTATATACGGTGTGAATTCTACATTGGTGACCCCGTATTTACTTCATCATTATGACGACTCTGTCAATATTATGTTAATGTATGCGAAAAAACTAGAACTGCACGTGACGTCATATCTAGGTCACGCCATCTTTTATATATTGCTTTTAACACATGGTTTTACTGTTCACGTTGTTGTTACGAAATGTAGATTATAAACTCAAATATCCGTGGTCCGACTGAATGATATTCAATAATACTAACAGACTCCTTCTTCATCAGGCAACTCGAACAAAACTCCGCCACCTACGGCCGCTACGAACGTCGTAGCTACGAACGCAGTGGCAGTTAAAATTCCGCCATTTTGGCCTTCCGACCCAGAGCTCTGGTTTGCACAAGTCGAAGCGCAATTTTCGGTGAAGAATATGACATCACAAGGTACCAAATTCGCTCATGTCGTCGCGGCTTTATCGCCCGAAGCTGCCACTGAGGTTCGCGACCTGATCCTTACGCCTCCTTCTACGAATCCGTTCGACGTACTTAAAGCTACACTCACCGAGCGAGTGTCCCTTTCCAAGCGTCGAAAGATCCAACAACTCTTACAGGCTGAAGAGTTAGGGGACCCAAAATCATCGCA